AGACCAAGTCCTATGAGGAAAAGTTGAAGGAGCTGGGTATGTTTAGCCTGGAGAGGAGACGACTGAGAGGGGATGTGATAACCATCTTCAAGTACTTGAAGGGCTGTCGTATAGAGGATGGGGCGGAGTTGTTTCCTGTTGCCCCAGAAGGCTGGACCAGAACCAACGGGTTGAAACTAAATCAGAAGAGTTTTCGGCTAAACTTTAGGAAGAACTTCCTGACAGTCAGAGCCTCTGTAAGCCGCTCTGAGACTCCGAGTGAAGGGCGGGGTATAAATCCAGTCTCTCCTTCTTCTTCTTTGGAGGTTTTCAAACAGAGGCTAGATGGCCATCTGTCGGCAATGCTGGTTCCGTGAACGGAGGCCGATCAGGAGAGGGAGGGCAGGAAGGGTTGCATCAGTGCTTAGTTCTCGTGACCCTTTCCTACATGGCAGGGAAATGCTGATCGCTGCTTTGGGGTCAGGAAGCATTTTTTCTCCAGGCTACTTTGGCTGGAGATCCTGGAGGATTGTTGTCATCTTCTGGGCGTGGAACAGGGGTCACTGGGGGTGTGGGGGGGGAGGTATTTGTGAATTTCCTGCACTGTGCAGCGGGTTGGACTAGATGACCCTGGAGGTCCCTTCCAACTCTATGATTCTAAGGTGGAAAGATTCACACCTAATCTTTCTGCCTCTTTTTGTCCCCGTGTGGATTTGCACTTGAAAGGTTCAAGGTAGAATTCACCCTCTGCCTTAAATCCCCCCTTGTAATCTTTCCTAACCAGGATATCCAAATATCTGAATAACTGAGCTGACACGCACAAAAACTTATATTTAAATAACTTTGGCTAGTCCTTAAGGTGCTGCTGGACTTTTGTTTCCTTTAGGTATGCCCACAGAAGAACTGTGAATCCACGTGACAAACACAAAAAGCGCGGAACTTTAGAACACATGGCATCAAGGACTCTGATTGCGAGAAGACGTTTCGGCAAGATTTCCTATCAATACGCAGAGCTACAGCTTTAAAAGTCCTAATTACACAGTCATTAGTGCTCCCCGAAGACGTCCTCCTTTGATGTTACAGAGGAAGAAGTGAATGACGCTTCTTAATTCTTTGTTTGAAGGGACGGCATAAGCCTTTCTACATTCTGGGTGTACCAGACAGACAGACAGACAGACATGGGTGGCTGAGCAGGGAGAGGCAGAAATATGAAAAGCTTTTAAGACCGGGATGAAAAGCTTGAACTTTGTTTAAGAGGAGAAAGGAAGGATTCAGAAAGAGACATTCGGAATGGCAAGGGCGGAAGTCGGTTTTCAAGTTTGCACAAAAGACGGCGGCCAGAAGTGGCTTTTTGTACATTCTGCAAATATTTACCCCTCTGCCAAGGCACATGCACCCCCAGGCAGTTCTCCCTTAATTACCCTTCTGATACAGCTTGTCGTTTCCCTCTGACGGGTCGGGTGGTACGCCATGCGCGGTTTGCTGGCTGACCCGAGACACTCGGCGGCAAGTTCTGTCTTCACCTGTGTAGCGCCAAGCTTCCTATCCAACAACAGGATTAATTCCGAACTCGCTTTTGAGAAGGAGACCTGTTTGGTCCCGGATTTTTTTCTTTCTCTTCTTTTTTTCGGCTGATGCTACAGATGACTGCTCTAATCTCTTCTCCTCCCATTCATATAAATATTTTTTAAAAAGGTAAGTCTATTTCTAAATACTTTTTCTAGACGGTTTTTTAAAAAAGCAATGCAACTGGAACCAATTCCTCGCTGAACTAAAACACGGCCGTTTTTGAAAAGTGGTGAGCTTAACAGAGAGGAAGTGTGGTGTAGTGGTTCAGACTGGCATCTTGGAGACCTGGGTTCGAATCCCCACTCGTGCCATGGAAGCTCGGTGGGGGACCTTTGGCCAGTCATACGCTCTCATCCTAACCTACCTCACAGGGTTGTTGTGAGGATAAAATGGAGGAGAGGACTGTGTAAGTTGCTTTTGGCTTCCCCTTGGGGGAAAAGGCATGGCACAAACAAAGCCAGTAAACACATAAATATGCACTAACTCGACAAGTTAGAAGATCCATCGGCAAACAAGACGAGCGATTCCATCAGCACCAAGACGTGCCTTCCATCTGTAATAATTTCATTCTCACCAGCTGCCAATACGCTATCTGCAGTGATATTTTGATAGCATCCCACACGTTAACATGGAATCATTTACTTTGCTATATATCAGCAATGGCAGCACCTGCTTAATGGCGTAGGGTTATAAATATTGTTAATAAGAGCAAGGAAATTTCTTCAAGAGAACAGATAATCTTACTGATTACAGTTTGTCCCTTCCGTCACCTCTGCCACTTTCAACGGCTCAATTTTGATTTAAGGTCTAACAACTTGGCCAGCGATAAAAACCCATTCGGGTGTGTTTAGAAGATTTTTCGCCATTTTCGTATTTTGCAACTTCCCGGTGACCGAAAAGCGCTTACGGATTTTCGAGTTCTTAAGCTGGGCAAGTCTTGCGCTGGGCCGGCGCTAAAACCAAAGGTGGACATCCAATTCAGACAAATGTCAAGAGGAACGATGTGGGTAATCTCTTCCCAAACTTAAAATGCTAGATGGGTTAAGAGTGGAAGTCTCGCTCTTCGACCTTGCAGAGGTCTCCGGCTAATTAACGTCTTTAAACCTAGCTAGCGACCAAATGAGCAATCTCCAACAACTGCCTGACGGGACAATTTAGATAACAATTTCTCAGGCATGAAATACGTCATGTAATACCAAGTGGCACTTCAGACTGAAATGAGAGATGTAATGTTGTATTTCTTATAACTTTCTTAACTTGATTGGGGCATGGGCAAACGCTCTCCATAGCACTGAGGGCCAGTGTGGTATAGAGTCTAAAGTGTTGGTCTAGGATGTGGGAAACCCAGGTTCCAATCCCCACTTGAACCACGGAAGTCTGCTGGGTGACCTCGGGCCAGTCACATGCTCTCAGCGTAACCTACCTCACAGGGTAGTTGTGAGGATGAAACGGAGCAGAGAGGACAATGTAAGCCATTCTGGGTCCCCATTGGGATGAAAGGCGAGCAGTGCTCCCTCTAAGCTGAGTTAGTGTGAGCTAGCTCACAGTTTTTTAGCCTCCGGCTCACACATTTTTGTCTTGGCTCAGAAAGGTTGGTTCCAGAGCCAACTAATGTATACAGTAGCCAAATCGCTCACTCACAACTCTAATGCCACTAGCTCACAAAGGAGGAGGCCGCCGGAGGAGGCCGCTGAACTAAAGACCAGCTCCAAGGCGCCAGGAGGGGGAACGCCGGAAAAACATCAGCACGCGAAGCCTGCTGGAATAAGAGCCGAAACAACAACAACAAGAGCTCGCTCTGCTGCCTGGGTGCTGGTAGGTAGTCTGTTAATGTGGCCCTAGATAGGTACGATAAAAATCATATGTAAACCGCTCAGAGACCCTTCGGGGTTTGAGCGGTATATAAGCTAAAAGTTAAATAAAAATAATAAAATAAATTTTTGCTCACAAGACTCCACAGCTTAGAGGGAGCATTGAAGGTGAGATATAATAAATAAATAAATTGATATAAATCTACAGTATTTAATATGACACCCGGCAGCATCAAGTGCTAAGGCAGAAAAGCTGTATGTGACTCTCCGAAACTAATGGCTTGTATCCTATTATTATAGTTTGTAAATTTGAAAAAATATAAGCCCCCTCTCAACAGCTTGACAAAGACTAAGCATGCTCAGTGCTCTTCAGAAACGACAGACCGGCAAGAGCAGTTTGGTATTAGTTAAAGGAAAGGGAAACAGAGTAATTAAGAAATTAGCCTGAACTCCTAATTGCTGATTGTATGTTGGGAGGTGAGATTTGCGTTTGGGGATGCTCCTGAATCTTCATCTCGTGGGATTTCCTCGCAGGTCCCTAAATTATTATTTATTTCAAAACATCCCTCACACACACCCCTCCATTGGTCTATACTTTGTTGCATTTATCTTTGTCCTGCAAAGCCCTCTGGAATGTAAATATGCCCAGGGATGCCACATTTAATACTGCCCAGCAACGGCAAACCCTTCCTAACATGTTAATGTATCTAGAAGCTGTTGCATAATTTTCGCTAAGCCTGTTTGCGACAGCCAGAAAGGGAGAGAAGGAATTAAAGGGGGACATAAAGAAATGGAAGTAAATTAAAAAAGGTGAGGAGGATATTGGCTGCACAAATGCAACTTGGAAAAAAAAATAGCAATAACTAAAGCCATGATAATAAAGTTATCAAGCTGCTTTCGCACCCAACCCTTTGACTATTAAACACTGTGGCAATATTTCATTGCTCATAATGGATTTCAAGTAAGCGAAAGGAATACTGCGAATAGGAAGTCATTGAAAGAACAACAATATCAATGACAAATTACAATGGCGCGCCGATAACCTCCGACGGGGGACGCTGTGGGCCCGAGACGTGTGCGATGCCCCCTCATTGTGTATCAAATCCGTGGGGTGTCACATTTTCGGTCCCATGATAAATGGCGGGTCTGACAACTCACTTTCTGTCCCAAGATATTTCTAACTTTTGCCGGGTTGCGTGGCAGGCAACAAAATTGATTAAACCCAGCCGGCGGGGGGAGGGGGGGGATTTGACGCGCCAGCCGCCTGGGGCTTCTATTTGTTGATTACTATTGATTTTCTTTGATACTTCATTTCAAAAATCAATAGCTAGGAAGAAAAATAGGCCCGGTTTACACATACTTAAACATACCATTGTATGCGAGAAGAGACTACAGTTTTGGCAAGGGCTCCGGCATCCAATTACGAGGAAAGCTCTTAACAGGTGAAAGCCGGGGCTCCCGATCGATACTCCGTTTTCTTCCTCAATCAGAGAAAGTGGCCATAAATTAGGCGCATCGGTGTTATTTTCAAAGATGTTCCTGAGGCAAATAACTTTAAAGTTTTTTAAAAAGATTTTCATAGGTTGTTTTTTTTTTTTTTTGGTGAAGGACAAAAGAAAAGGAAAGATCCCCCCCCCCTACCTTGAGCTCATTCGTGCCTTCAGTTTTTTGGCCTTCTTTTTCGTCTTCTGGCGCTCCTCGCTATCCTTTGAGGGCTCTGTGGGGACTGAGCTTTCGACTATGATATCCACAATGTACTTCTTTAACGACAGGTGCTCCTGTGGGAGGCAAATGGCTTATTTTATTTTTTCTGCTTCGATGACACTACCTCCGCCTCATGGAATCAGAGGCGGCTTACGATTATTTTTTTTAAAATTAAAAACAGAATCGAGGCAATATAAAGCGTTGGCACTCAACGATAAACAACAAAAGTAGCACTGAAAACGTTAAAAATCTAAAAGAAGTAGCGACGGTACAACAACATCCAACTGCAAGACAAAAAACCTTAAAAGCTGGACTTGTTTCTTTACTTCTTTAAAACATTTATAAGCCCTCGTTTCTCCTGAAGAAGACCCAAGGTGGGCGACATTAAAATAAAATGCAATAAACCCTTATAAAACCACACCGTTTTAATCTTTAAAACAGAAAAGTAAACGGCAACTAACTGAAGACATTTTCTCAATAATGGTTTGATTATAATACATGTATTTTCTCAATTGATGTCAGCAAAGCAAAACGATGCGAAAAGACAGGCCATGAAATTCCACACAGCTCAAGTAATAGCTCAAGTATAAGCCCTCGTTTCTCCTGAAGAAGACCCAAGGTGGGCAACATTAAAATAAAATGCAATAAACCCTTATAAAACCACACCGTTTTAATCTTTAAAACAGTAAAGTAAACGGCAACTAACTGAAGACATTTTCTCAATAATGGTTTGATTATAATACACGTATTTTCTCAATTGATGTCAGCAAAGCAAAACGACGCGAAAAGACAGGCCACGAAATTCCACACAGCTCAAGTAATAGCGTACAACCTCCATTTGACATGAAAATGTTATTTCCAAGGCCACCGCTGAGCTGAGGGGGACCTAGGAAGATTATACTCCAATATTATCCAATATTGGTCATCTTTGTTGGATATTGTAACTCTTCATGCAAGAGGATCTGGAAGGGAAAGGGTTAAGAGAATCCCCCCCTTGTACCCTTGGCAGGTGGCCCCACCCTCTTCTCCTCAAAGAGTTAAGATAATTCTCTTGGGTGCACTTGGCCCCGCCCTCTCATCAGTTAGATGCTGAGCCTCTTTGACCCTTGCTAGCCTTCTTTGTTTCATCTTTATATAGGACCTCTTCTCTCTCTTACCTGGGCTTGGACCTGCAGCAAGTTAACCTTTTCTTGAAGCGAATCTTTTCACAATAAGTTAAATGTACCTACATGCATATGTCATGCAAGACGTGTTTCTATGTTTATAAGTAAAATTTCTTTCTCTTGTTACCACTGGAGTCAGATCATCTTTGCCATTTGTTTGAACAGCATTTCCCCCCTTAACCGGGAAACGTGCAGGATCACCACTGCCCCAGACATAAGAACATAAGAGAAGCCATGTTGGATCAGGCCAGTGGCCCATCCAGTCCAACGCTCTGTGTCACACAGTGGTCAAAACTGAAGTCCACCAGCAGAGCCAGAACTCCAGAAGCCCTCCCACCGTTGCCCCCCAAGCACTAGAAGACAGAGCATCACTGCCCCAGACATAAGAAGACAAGAGAAGCCATGTTGGATCGGGCCAATGGCCTATCCAGTCCAACACTCTGTGTCATACAGAGGCCAAAACCCAGGTGCCATCAGGAGGTCCACCCGCGAGATCAGAACTCCAGAAGCCCTCCCACTGTGGCCCCCCAGGCACTAACAATAAAGACCATCACTGCCCTAGACATAATGTTCAGTCAATACTTTGCGGCTGATAGCCACTGATGACCTCTGCTCCGTATGCTTATCCAATCACTTCTTGAAACTGTCTATGATGGAAGCGGCCACCACTACCTGTGGCATAGAATCCCACGTGTGAATCACTCTTTGGGTGAAGGAGGACTTCCTTTCATCTGTTCTAAACCTCCTGCTCATTAATTCCATGGAGCGCCCACGAGTTCTTGTACTGTGAGAAAGGGAGAAAAGTACTTCTTCCTCTGCCTTCTCTATCCCATGCATAATCTTATAAACCTCAATCATGTCACCTCTCCAGAGAGCCAGTTTGGAGGTCCACCTGCGAGACCAGAACTCCAGAAGCCCTCCCACTGTGGCCCCCCAGGCACTAACAATAAAGACCATCACTGCCCTAGACATAGTGTTCAGTCAATACTTTGCGGCTGATAGCCACTGATGACCTCTGCTCCGTATGCTTATCCAATCACTTCTTGAAACTGTCTATGATGGAAGCCGCCACCACTACCTGTGGCATAGAATCCCACGTGTGAATCACTCTTTGGGTGAAGGAGGACTTCCTTTCATCTGTTCTAAACCTCCTGCTCATTAATTCCATGGAGCGCCCACGAGTTCTTGTACTGTGAGAAAGGGAGAAAAGTACTTCTTCCTCTGCCTTCTCTATCCCATGCATAATCTTATAAACCTCAATCATGTCACCTCTCCAGCTAAAGAGCCCTCACCTCTTCAACCTTTCTTCACAGGGAAAGTGTTCCATCCCCTTAATTGTTTCAGAAGTTTGTGTGTAAAAGCTAGCCAACCTCTGACTGTGTTTTACTGGCGTTACTACCTCGATGTCGTTTCTCCTGACGGAAGAAAAGGGCAACTCGAATGATAGAAGGGTTGGAACACTTCCCCTATGAGGAAAGGTTAAGGCGCTTAGGGCTCTTAAGCTTGGAGAAAAGACAACTGAGGGGCGACATGACTGAGGTTTATAAGATGATGCATGGGAAAGAGCAGGTAGAGAAAGAGGTACTTTTCTCCCTTTCTCACAATACAAGAACTTGTGGGCACTCCATGAAATTGCTGAGCGGTCGGGTTAGAATGGATAAAAGGAAGTACTTCTTCACCCAAAGAGTGATTAACACTCGGAATTCACTGCCACAGGAAGTGGTGGCGGCTACAAGCATGGACGGCTTCATGGATTAGATAAGCATATGGAGCAGAGGTCCATCAGTGGCTATTAGCCACAAGGTATAGATAGGGGCTCTGGGGCAAGTGATGCTCTGTCTTCTTGGTGCTTGGGGGGGTCAACAGTGGGAGGACTTCTAATGCCCTGGCCCCACTGGTGGACCTCCTGATGGCACTAGTATTTCTGGCCACTGTGTGATACAGAGTGTTGGACTGGATGGGCCTTTGGCCTGATCCAACACTGGCGTCTCTTATGTTCTTATGTTCTTAAGAAGGAAGGAGACTTTAATCCACCACTTTGAAAGGCATCCCTTCATGTGCGGGGCGCCTTTAAATATAAGGTGACACTTCACCCTGCTACATCAAGGTATGGTAAACTCTCTCAGGAATTATGAATCAGGCAGAGACTCTCGCGCCTCAAAGGCCTTGTCTTATCTAATCCGCGATTTAACAGACATCTTTATCAGCAACGATAAGGATGTGTGACGCATTCATTCAATTTTCTCCAAGGGGGATAAAGACAGACCTCCGCTTTCATCACGCGCAACATGGTATGGGCTGCGGAACACGCCATGCATATCAACGTAGCGGAGGCCTGCATGAAAGAGAGGTTTCTCAGAGGTCTCCGCTTTCAGATTAATCTTTAAACTTCATCTCTGGAGCGCAGCGAAATAAAACTAGAGTAATAACACGTTGCGTCGCCCCTCGCTTGTCACTCCTCCAAAGAACGGATCAAAGTGTAGGATTAGCACACGGGCCGGGTCTAATACCAAATGTGCGAAAAAAAGAGATTCAACCAGTAGCCCCCGGGAAGGTATCGGGTGTCGAAAGGACACTACAAAGACGGCGGCTTGTCTCATAGAGCTATGCCCCACGCACCTACGTCTCTAATATTTGCAGGAGGCGATATAATTTGCAAAATTCACATGACTTTAATGCTGGGAACCACCGAATGCCAACTGGTAACTCAATGAAGATAAACACTGTCAAACAGAAGTTTGCGTAAGCATTTCCGGGCCTTGCAGCAGAATGATATTCTGTGAAATGCTTTTATTTTACTTACGCTATACACACACACACACACACACACACATAATTAGTTTTGAGAAGAGAACTCTGTTTACTTACTACTCTCTAGCGAAGGCAAAAGACTGGAACCTGAACAGAGTTACTTTTATCTTAATTAAATCCTCTGTTCCTACTGCTCTGCACTGGATGGCCCAGGATAGCTTCATCTCATCGGATCTTGGAAGCTAAGCAGGGTCAGCCCTGGTTAGTACTTGGATGGGAGACCACCAAGGAAGTCCAGGGTCGCTATGAAGAGGCAGGCAATGCCAACTGCCTCAGTAGGTCTTTTGCAGTGACTTGGATGGCCAAGGTAACCCCATCTCATCGGATCTCGGAAGCTCAGCAGGGTCAGTTCGATTAGTGTTTGGATGGGAGACCTCCAAGGAAGTCTAGGGTCGCTACACAGACACAGGCAATGACAACCTCCCTTTGAAACCTCTTGCCTTGAAAACCCTACAGCGGCGGTTCTCAACCTGTGGGTCGCGACCCCTTTGGGGGTCGAACAACCCTTTCACAGGGGTCGCCTCAGACCATTGGAAAACACAAATTTTCAATGGTCTTAGGATAGGGCTCCCAAGTCTCGCCAAATTGCGGCGGGGGATCGCATCCTGCGTATCAGATATTTACATTACGATTCATGACAGTAGCAAAATTACAGTTATGAAGTAGCAATGAAAATAATTTTATGGTTGGGGGTCACCACAACATGAGGAACTGTATTAAAGGGTCGCGGCATTAGGAAGGTTGAGAACCACTGCCCTACAGGGTCATCCCTGCTGTGTGATGAGAACAGTTGTGTTGTAACAGAGGGGAGTCTCTTCTTTCGGGGTGCAGTGTTCATCCTGAACATCTCTTGCCTTGAAAACCTTATAGGGTCACCTTGAGTTGGCTACAACTTTATGGCATTTTTCACCACCACCATTACAACTGGGCCAATGTATCTTATAGCAAATTTTAACAGTGTTCCTTATGGCGGTTTTGCAGTGATTTGGATCAGCTGGTACATAGTGCAATAGCCAGTTGCTTCTTTCATCTGAAGGACGCAGGAGGAGCTCGACACACAAAAGAACCCAAGCTGGAATGAAAGCAGTATTTGGATGTTT